TCTCTCATAGTTGAAGTATACCTGTGATGAAAATTACAGGCCTCTCTCATCTTTTTAAGTGAGAGAACGTGCACAATTCGTGGCTGACTAAATACTTTTTTGCCCCAGTGTAGCTTGTTCTCTTGACAGAACTCTATTAGCCTTTGCCCTGCTTCATTTTGTATTCCAGGCCAAATTTGCTTGTTATTCTGATTATTCCTTGACTTCCTACTGACTTCCTACTTTACTTCCTTCATCTAGCTGTGGCCAAGTCCATGGTCCATTACTGGGCAGATACTTTGCTTACCTTTTGCTTTATGAAGCTCCAATGTAAGTTGATTCTGCACTTTACTCTCTTCATTAAAACAGTCCATTAACTCATGCTGCTCATTAAGCACTTGGCATGCTTCCCAATTCTTATTCTCGCAGTCCTCTTTAGAATGACTATGGATATTATGCATTTCCTCCAGCTTCCAAAAAAAAAACAGATTTAAAACACAATAAAAATATGCACTCTGACAAGCAACTTGCAGTCTTAGGTTGCACCTAGCCCCCAAATCCTTCTTGTATAGCTGCCACCTGAGATCAAGTCATCAAAATTTGGTAGCAAATAACTAAATAGTGGCACAAATTCCTACTGATTATTAGTAGGAAACAAAGCTTAATATATCTAGAAAGCTGATTTTCCTCTGTCCCCTCCCAAGAAACCAATGAAACAAAGGATAAGAAATCCCATCTCTGCCAATGACATAAGCATACCAGCATTCTGCTAACTGCAGCAAGAACAATACTAATGACAATTTTCCCAGCCACCATAAAGTTAACCACTTCACTATATGAAGATTAATAATAAATTCTGTTACTTTGATTAACCATTAAAATAAAGTGTTTTCTTTTACTATCAGATATTCTTTTTCTATGCTAACATATTGCTTTTCAAATGCTATTTCTACTGATATAGTATTATCTAGTGAACCTAGTGACTTGATTTTAATTTTATGAGTTTTGGTCTCTATTTTTTTATACCAGAAATTTGGTATTTAAAAGCTAGTACTTGGAAGAAAGCTATATAACAATATGTTCTCTGAAGGCTTTCTTCATCTTATTTTTAAGCAACAGAACTTTATACATTTGTACTAGGAAATGAGAGCCAGTTTGCTGTTAAGGCACCAGGCTAGAAACCAGGAGATCATGTCTTAGGCATGAAGCCAGTTAGGTGACTTTGGGCCAGTCACTCTCTCTGAGCCCTAAGAAGGCAGCAATGGCAAACCACTTCTGAAAATCTTGCCAAGAAAACTGCAGGGACTACAGGTAGTCCTCAATTTACAACTATTCATTTAGCAACCATTCAAAGTTACAACAGCACTGAAAAAAGTGACTTACGACCGGTGCTCACACTTAGACCCTCACAGCGTCCCTGCGGTCATGTGATCAAAATTTGGCCGCTTGGCAACTGGCATGTACTTACGATGGTTGCAATGTCTTAGGGTCACATGATTGCCATTGCAACCTTCTCAGTTTTCTGACAAGCAAAATCAACAGGGAACCATATGATTCATTTAATGACCATGTGATTCACTTAACAACCACTGCAAAAAGTGTCACAAAATCGTGTGCGGTCATGTGACACCTTGCTTAATGACTGCACTGCCTAATGATGAATGTTCCAGTCCCTATTGTGGTCGTAAGTTGAGGACTACCTGTAGTCCAGGCAGTCACCAGGAGTCAACACTGACTTGAAGGCACCAAATAAACAAATAAATAAATAATGACAGAGCTGCAAACTAGAAATAATAACAATTAGTTCATCATATGCATAGGATTGCAGCTTAAAATATAGGTTAGTTCTGAATTTTTCCTTCAGCATCTTAACTCTTAATCCCAGGATGTAAAAATATGTTGGTTTCTAGCCATACTCCATGCTCTTGCGTTTCACTTTCCTACTGTGCTTGTTTCCATCATTAGCTATTTTAAATTTAATTACTTTCACAGGAAAGATATGAAATTTCAGTGAAGTCTCATCTATACTCATGGTAAGAAATCACACTTTTCTTACACAAAAGCAATCTCTAGGTAGGAAATATAATATATACCATGGGGTTTCAAACTGTGGGTTGTGACCCCTGGGAGACAGTGAACATCAGGTGTGTGCGCCATAATTTTTTTAAAAAATTGCCTTAGGCATCGTAGTCATGTTTGGACTTTTGAGTATTAGTAAGTTAAGAAATCCACCCGCTTCCTTTCCTTAGCAGAAAGAAAGGGTTCTAGGGTTCTGTGAACCACCACCAAGATTAAATTATTTGTTACAGAATATTATTTTGAAATGAACCTTTACACTTCCATAACTTTTTTATTATACAAAATGTTTAATTTATCTGTTAAAGTATCTTGTTATATCTAAAATGCCAATAGTTTTGGAGATTTTAGTGGATTGGGGGTTTTAATGCAATAGAAATGGACAATTTCAATTTCTTACTTTTGCAGCATAAGTGGTACTTAACTGTGTGACAAGCGTGATTGGATAATTGTGTTTTACGTGTCTCAGAAATCTCAACTGGTGTGGCATGTAATAACTGTATTCTTTGGAGTGTCTGTAAAAGTATTTGTAATTAGTAACGTTCAGTATTTTTACTGAATTTTTACTTGTTGTTTTAGAAAGCTGTACAGATCTATCATACCACTGAGCTTGTAGTTAAAGTGTTACACTGAAGACTTTGTTTGAAATGCAACAACATGAGAACTGTACATAACACAAGTACATCACTTCAAGAACTGCTCTCCAGCTCCTTCCATGGGTGATATGAAGGAATAGGTCTTTAGCACTGCCTGGTTTCCCATAACATTAATATATAAGATTTAGTTATTGCTTAACTAAATAAAAAATATTTTACTTGTTTGGTTGATTCAGCAAGCATCTCAAGAAGTTTCTCCACAGTGATATATAAACAATGGCAGATTTTTTTAATCCTCTCTTCATTTTCAAATATAAGCTCTGGATTTTCAAAAATACTTTCACATAAATGCTCACTCAGTTCCAAAGAATCAAAGCTGTGTTCCAGTGCAGTCTGATCAAGAACTTCACCTGTTCAATAAATGGATTAATTTTAAAATACGAGTTTAAAAAGACATACAAAAAACAACTTAATTTATTATATTACTCTAATATAATTTTAGAAGCCAAGTTACAATTCAATTGAATGTAATTCCTTATCACAGAATTATGTCACTGTGCAGAAAATAATTCAATGCATGCAGCATGTATAGAACCAGAGTTTTTGAAATAATATCTCTTCCCATAACTTTTCTGCATTCTAAAATATTCAAGAGATTCTGTTCTGACTGTTCCTATGCTGTTTGTTGTTCTTGATATTTTTATCTTTACTATTTAAACTGTATTTACAGATGTTCCTAATCTTTACTGCAGTTGACTGGATTTTATTGATTTTAGCGTATTCTTTTTTGTATAATTAGTATATTGCTTGATGGTTCTTTATCTCCACAACGCTTCTTTCTGCACACACCAAATCTAAACCTTTTGACAAAGTCCAGTTATGCCACCGCAAGAGCATCCCATGTAAGATGTGGATACTTCTCATTCTCTGTTATGATGAATTGCACAATAGTTCTTTAAAACTTACAGAAAACAAGAGCAGGAAATTGGCTTAGAGAGTTTAAATAAATTCATGGCCGTGCAAAGAACTTCATTTACAGGTAAATAAAAGTTATTCTTCATCATGTTCTCTGTGGTTTACAACATGGGGTGGAGAACATATTGAATCCTTGGTGAAAGATGATTTTAAGTCTTGACTAAGTATAGTTCAGAACAGTAGCTAGACTTACCGCAAGGTACTTTTCTGGTCAGTGATGGACCTGAGAGGGAGGGGTTACCTGTGTCTTATTCTAGCCAAAAGACTATGTGTATGATTTCTTCCTATCCAACAGAGGAAACCCCTTTCCATCAGACTTCATCTATAACAACTAAGTTGCAACTGAAATGGGAATGGGACAATTTATGAGTTGGCGTAAGTGACTCACATGTACTGTAAACTGGGCCACCTGGCCACCTGGGTACTCTCATAGTCATCTTCTCCTCCTAAATAGGGTGAAACTGTCAAGTCCATCTTTCAGAGACTAGAAAAGTACTTCATGGCAAATACCTTTTTAATTGTTTATGACAACCAAGAGGAAAGGGGTATACTATAGCAGTATTCCCAGGGTAAGATGGGAAAGGATAAGATTCTCAGTTTACAACACTCATAGTGACTCACTGCAGCCAAAGTCCACATCTGAGGCAAATTTATTTTATAATGCCTTATAAAGGTAGATTATTTCATCCCAGAGCTACTCTACAAATGTCCATTAAAGGTACTCCTGCCATTAACATTGCCAATGGAGTCACCCCCTACAGAAACAGGGGGAAGCATTCTGTTGGCTGTGAATGCCAGAGTAATGTGTTCTCTCACCTCCTCTGTTCCTTGTGAATCAAGAAACTCATCTCTGTTGTGAAAATCTGTCAATTATCAACTTTAGCGAAGATTTGGGGGGTGGGGTAGCTTTGGAATGTGAAAAGCAATATTGTAACCTACAGCACCATTTAGAACCAGTATGTTTTCATGGGACACTTGCAAATAAAACTGACCAATTTAAGGGAGATGATGATGATTCTTTACTCTCTTCTTCTTCCTAGACAACTTTGATAGCTCAGGCAGAGATGTTTTAAATGGGCTCTTACCTCTATGTACTCTTTGCAATAGTAGAGTTAAATAGTGACTTGAGTTTATAATAGGCCTACAGTATTAATAAAGATCTGCCAATGTACTCAGTAAGTGAGAACTTAATCCTGCATTAAGCACATTTATATAGAGTCAAGTTTGTAAACATCAAAGTGCTCAAGGGGAAAAATAATGTAAATAAATCAGAAGAATGAAACAAACTAGGGAAGATGGGGTGGGGTGGGGTGGCTGGTGGGCAGGTTGCTACTCATGGTGAAATGTTCTTATAGTATTACTGCTGCAGATATCAAAGAACCTAGGAGAATGACCAAGTGTTGTCCCTTAAATGCTTCCAAAAGTTTGTCTCTAGAATACTCTGAAAGGGGCACTGTGCTACAACAGAACCTGGAGATGTGAATCACAAAGAATAACATTGAAGAACAGTTATATAATCAGGATAGCAAAGGATATTACTTTTGTTTTATGGCCCAGTGTTATATCTCTGCTTTTGTTTTTCAACCCAGGATGAATATGAATCAGTTGTAGTTAATCATTTAAATTTATTTATTTATTTAATATTCATTTATTTACTCTGGGTGGTGTAAAAAACTAGAAAAAAACATAAAAATGGCTAAAAACATTAGACAGACAGCCCAGACTAAAATCCAAATTGAGGGTTAATGCCTTATCTTTTTACAGTCTACGTAACATACAAAACCTACTAAAACTCAGCATCTAGTGCTTTTTAGTCTAGAAGTCTACAAAAACCATTCATATGGAATATTTTTTAATATGAAGAAGAAATAAAACTAGAAGTATGCAACTCCAATTCCTGCTTTTATTTTCATGCCTGGTGAAACCCAAGAATCAAGTAATACTGTATTTAAACAGGCTCTAGCAAAGACTCTAATATATTCATGAGAAAGAAAAACATAGTATGGATGCCTAATCCTGGTATCACAGACTGTTTTTTTCTTCTCAGATCTTATTTTTTCTGACTAGGTTCACTTCTTTCTCATTATTGCCATTACTATCTTTACATGTGCATCCTTCATCCGGACTCAGTCTGTATCGGCGCTTAGAGAAAACTGCAAAGTAAGGATGGTGCTCTATTCCCTTTTGTCACATTTAGAAAAGACAGGTTAAATGGTTTCAATGGTTGTGATAAAAATAACAGAAGCAACAGTAGGCTTCTGATAAGCAGACCTTATCAGGCACCTACAGATTATTAACTGTCTAAACTTAAAACACTTTCATTGATAGCAATTAAATCCACATTTAGCTCTCCCAGGACTAGACTGTAACTTTCATCTAACTACAGGTAACAACCCTAACTAGGACTGGCAACTCCACCACTAAGCAAAGTGGTTGCTAAGTGGGAAATCATGTGACCATGACTATGCTTTCAGGCTGGAAAGAGACAAGACTAGTCAGCTTCATACCTTCAGCTTTTGTTTGCCTCCTAACCACTCCCCAGCCCTTTGGAACGCTCAAGTGCCTGCTTACTGTCTTGTGCACATTGAAAGCAATGCAATTGCACCGGCAGTGAGAAAGGGTAAGGCAAAGGTGAGATTGCCTACAGAAATCACTTGCCTTTTTTCTCCCCCCCACCCCCCATAAGAGTGGAGAGACTGGAGAGAAAAAGATTTTAAGAGAGTACTGTAAGCTGTCTGCGTTGTGCACCTGTGGCTCCTAGCCCTGGGCTGCTAGTGCGATCGCACTGCTGTTTAGAAGAGCAAGCAGCTTACTTTCTTGCAATCCCTTTCTCTCCAATCTCTCTGTTCTGCAAGGGGAGGGAGAAACCACAGGTGAGGAACAGGACAACACATACTGATTGCAATGGTGATCACGTGACTGAAGGATGCTGTGGTCATAAATGGTCCATAAAGTTATTTTTTCAGCACCAGCGTAACTTTAAACGGTCACTGAACAAATGCAGTAAGCGAGGACTACCTGTACAGCAATGTCTTGGAAGACATCAAGAACAGGGTTGCACAATTCTATCATAGACAATGGTATTTTATTTTCCCTTCAGGTTATTACCTTGGAAAATTCTACTGTTTTTCTTTAATTGCCATTTCTCCATTGTTTTCAGCGTGTGTGTGAGTACTATTTCTCCAGACATGATCTGACTCTCTCTTGAATCTCCAGATGCCAAGCTGTCATCAAAACAAAGGCCAATTTTCTTGCAGATAAGATCTTCCATATCTTTTGTGGACTGCACCATTTTCAGAAGTAATTTCAAAGCCTGCTGACAAGATTCTTGTAGTTTATCCCTAAAATAAAATATTATAGATTGAATTGTTCTGGTTGGCCTTTCCACTAACTGATTACCTCCCCACTATGACTTCTTCCTTATTAGAAAACAGGAAGCAAATTAAAACAAAAGCAAAAACAAATCTTCACATATTATGTATTTATTGGAGGCTACATAGGAAAGGCTAAAATAGATGTAATTCTTATACCATTTCCCCCAAAATTATCCCTAGTCAAGTGCTGTTCTAATTTGAAAATTACAACTTTAGACAGGAAAAAGCAAGCAAGAGAAGTAATATTTTAGCTAAAATTATTCTTCCTACCAACACAAAACAAAGGTTAAAGTTTAGGGAAGTATATCATCCAGTTGACTCATTTTACAATGAACTGATACAGAAAAACATGGAAATTTAACTTTTACAAAGGACACAGACCTAAGGATGGATAAAGACATTTGTCACTTTCTTAGGAAACTGGACTAGTAGACCAAATGATTCAAGGTGGCATGCAACCTCCTACTGAACAGCACCAAGGAACAGAATACAAGAAATTGTTAATAAGGGGAGAAAAGTAAATTAACTCCAGGCTTTCCTATCAATAACTTCCATTAAGCATACTGTATATTTTAATTGTGTTACTATTAATCCTTTATCATAAAATTTCCTTTTCTCCATTTGGTAAAAATGTGCACCTTTCCTTGTGACACCAACTGAGAAAGATTTCCAAAGTGGGTTTATGCATCTTGCCAGTTGATTTATATCAGCTTAATATCCCATGGATATTAGCTATTGCTCTTTAGCGTTTAGGCTATCAGTTGGAAAAGCAGTGAGCAAGGTTTTAAAATTGGACCCTGGACAAGCGCTCTCATGTGGGAGAGGCACCATGGTCCCCAGGGTGATTGGCTCCAAAAACTACGGAGATCTCAAACAATGAAAAACTATTAGAATTATAATAGCTTCATCCTTCATTCTTAAAGACTTTTGGAAGCAGTCTAACTGGGGAGAGGTATACAGGAATTCTTTTGACCATGGATCTTCCAGTGTATTTGTACTTAATGCAGCTGGATATACGATATCAATAAGGACCTGCCAGCTACATAGTTGGCAGTGACAAAGAGCTCATCAGGTTAAGTCCTAATTTCTCTATCACCATCTTACATGCTTGTGAATTATCCATTCTGCTATTATATCAGACACTTGTACTTGTATCCTTGCTCCTTGACAGGCATGAGTTGGATCTCCACACAAATCACTTTTATTCACTAGACTATTCAGCTAACATATCCATGTGCCCTTCTGCTTTTTAGCATTAGCTTTAGCCTTTAATGCTATCCATTCATCATATCATCACATCAGTTTATTAGGCTAACACTGAAGATTCGATACATCAGAAAAATGGTTTCTAGCAGCTCACTTGGGCTAAAACAGATTCTGCATCTTTGACTACTGTAGTCTCAGAGCTTCCTACCAATTTATTTATACTAGAAGATACATTAATACACTGTAATCTCCAAACTACTCTTTTCCAACCCATTTTTTAAAATGGCATCTTGGTCAACTATATCATATGGGGTAAAGATTTAAAGAAGTTTTTTGATTTCTAAGTTTCATATAATTCTAGAATAAGGATATTAATAAAAGATCAGGCCATATCTCCTCGTATGTTCTGTATTAAATTGTATTAAATCACAATGCCTAGACCAAAGTTATGTTAAATATTAAATATAAATACATACTGTAACTTCCCCACAATTTATCTCCAGTCAAATTCTGAAATGATTTGAAGATCATTATTGTATTGTGTTGTATTACTAAATTTTTAATACTAGATGCTTAAAGGCTGGTCTTAGTATTGGCAAATGTGTTAGCTTGAATATTCTCTATCATACATACCGCCCATCACACTATTCCCTTTCAGGATAAGCAATGTTAGGCAATGCACAGAAAAAAGGTAAGAATTAATGAGCATAAGAAATTAAACGGATATAACCAAAAAATACTTTTTACTAAACCTAATCAACACCAACACCATTCATACCTCTCTATACCGGTCTATTCTTAAACTACCTTCTCTTCCAGCACATCCATACTATTGATTAATTCCTTTTGTTCTTCAATCTTTTTCTTCCTGTAAATGTCATCAACTCTACCTAACTACAACTTGCTTGGTTTTCTTGGCACCACCCTCATTCTTCTTTTATATATGCTATTCATTGTTCTGCAATTTGATCCTCATTCATTCTGTCTATATAACCAAATCACTTCAATGTACTACTTCTATATCGGTCATTAATTCATTCAACATTTATTCTTGACCCTCTACCTTCTTTTGCCACACACATCTTTTAAGTAACTCATTCCCACTACATTCAGCTTACTTTTATGTTTGTCCTGACATACCCTAGGTATTTTGGCCTTTTTTAACAAACATTCATTTCTTACAACAGACTACATATTACCCCAGTACCATTCTACCAACATTTGTATACTGTATACATTTCCCCAACTTTTTGTAAACATTTTACCAAAGATTATAAATAATTTACTTCCCATTTACTTTTTTTTTTGCCCTTTATGTATGACTTGAAATTATTCATTTCATGAATTTTCTCTGTCAACACAAATAACTTGGTCTTTGATATATTAATTTTCAGATCCATACAATCTAACAAGATAACATTAGCTGCAAATCATTTGGGTTCTTGGTCAACAACACTGCATCATCTGCATACAAAAATATGCATACATTTTCATTGCTTGTTTACTTTATATGAAATCCAAAATGTACTCTAGAATGTTTCAAGTGTTCAAACCTTTCATTCCTGCAATTGTCAATATCCGCTCTCAACAAGGCTATAAGAGTATTTCCTTCTTGATTAACTCTGCCTTGTGGATGTAGATTTTTTAATTCAGTATTGGCCTCTTCCACCTCTTTCTTTAAAAAATTGATTTCTTTCTCCAGCTGTGGAAAAATCAACAGTAAGGATAAATATCAATTTTTGCGAAGGCAACCATGCAGGCATATACTCAATTAATTATGTTCTCATATTATTCTACCCTATACAGTACAAGTAAAATAAATAAATAAATATTACTGGGTGCCCTAGGGGCAAGCAGTTTCCCAGACATTGCCATGATCTCTGAGTTTAGCCTTTATTAGAAAAAAGGTTTTATTCTTCAGAAATAGCCTCCACACACGCCTATGCACAATCAAGGTATAACCACTACCACACACTTACATTTAACACTGGAATCTCTGTTAAAACAAGGTAATTAAAACATAGACAGACACACAAGTCTACTCAAATTAAAGTCTTAGAGACTGAGCATTGGTAAAAATTAAGATTCATAATTATCTGAATCTTTTTTTCCTAAATGCTTCTCAACAAGTTTACCTCATGACATCATCTACCCAAAACCCTTTTTCAACCTAATCAGTTAATTTAACAGTCAAGGCTGATTAATTCTAAATTTTTATCAACTTGAAATGAATCAGTCTGGTTATGCGTGACTAAGATTGGCTTATTTCACAGATTCAGTAAGGAATATCTTTCCATACTTTGAGAGCCTAAGTACCCAATATGATAAATAGGTACACGTCATAACTCTTTTGCCTGAATCGTGATGAGTCTTCTATTTACTTTTGGAGATAAACTATATTTTGTCATCAGTAGTATCTTCCCTCCTTTGGGGATGAGAAAATATCAGAGGGAAACTATTGAAACTGTTCTGAAAATGGTTGCATTTCTTCATATCTTGTATTTCAAGAAACAAATATAGCAATATTTAGTATTTTTTCAAGAAAACCCGCTAAGTAAGAGCAGCAAAATTGGCCACCTCTATTATAGTTTCTCAGATAGATAATTTCAAGTTACAGCAAAATACAAAATCAAGGCCAAATGGAAATACAGTTTTACTTTTTCAGAAATCACTTTTTCAGCACTTCTCACCTGTTGTTTTTCTGACTTTATTTGCTCCAATTCTCTCTGAAGATGCTGACAATTTTCTTTTTCTTTCTGGATTTCCACCAAATGAAGATCTTGCAATCCCTGTATTCTTTTTTTATGTTCTTCCTCCATTTGGAGGACTTCTTTCTGCAAAACAACCAGGGTTTTATGATGCTCATCCTCCAACAAATGCCTTTGCTTTTCTAGCGCTATAGTTAATTCTTTCTACACAGAATCAAAGGTAATAAATAAATCCCAAATTATAAACTGTTCATCTTTCCACACAAAAGAAACAAAGAGTTGCTACCAGATAAAATTAAAATAATATAATTCATTTTGTTTCTACTTATAGATTAAACACAATTTAGAGCTTGTATGGACTATTTCTGTCTGCTTAGTTCTAACTTGAATCACTGCAGTGACTTAACTATGCCACTCTGACTTCTGACACAGCTTGCATATTTTCATAGAGCTACGAGATCTAAGCTGCACAATTCCAGACATCCCCTAGATGGCCCTAATTTTCACTAGTTGCTTCATGTCCAGCAAAGGCAAAATTTAGAATCTCAACTAATACCTACTATAATCAAGAACCACAAAAAATAATATATATCATGTCTAAGATGCTTAAGGAATTTACAAGAATTTCCAGTGATATACATTAAGAAAAATGATAATTATGGCTACTCACTATGGGTTGCAAAAATCTTAATACCTACCAGACAACAGCAAACAAGATACAGAAAACTCTTATCTCTTTGCTGCCAATTACTGGATGAATATGGCAATTAGGAGATAAAAAGTCTGTGAAAGAGGCTCATGTCAACGTCTTAAAAGAACATGGTATATAGGCGTTTTTATGACAATGCTAGAAGGTTCTGAACCAAGATGGGAAAGCACTTGATTACAAACAACAACATAGATATAATATGTATAACTGTAACCTTGGGGAACAGGGAAAGCCTGATATAAACTTTATAGAAAAGGACACAGAAGGATGTCCTGGGAGAAGTTTCTAGTTTGGTTTTTCGTTGTATGCATCTTTTTTTTTTTTTTTTTGGTGCCTTCAAGTCAGTGTTAATTCCTGGAGACTACCTGGACAAGTCCCTACAGTTTTCTTGACAAGATTTCAGAAGTGGTTTGGCCTTGCCTGCTTCCTAGGGCTGATTGGCCCAAGGTCACCCAGTTGGCTTTGTGCCTAAGGCGGGACTAGGACTAGGACTCCGGGTCTCCCGGTTTCTAGCCTGGTGCCTTAACCACTACAACAAACTGGCATTCTCTGTCCTTATTATATTGTTTTTATTCTGTTTATTGTATTGTGAGCTGCCCAGAGTTGCTCTGGAGTCAGGCAGCATCAAATAGAATAAAATAAATAAATAAGTTCAAAGAGGACATAAAATTTAGTAGAAATTAAACTTATAGCAGAAAACAATCCTCCATAGATTCCTCCAAAGACTCACTGTGAGTGGCAATATCTGTCTGCTAATATAAATTTATCTTAGGGATATGCTATCATCCACCTGATCATAATCTTGATATTGTAAAAGGAATCAGCAAGGCATGTACAGGAGACGTTATTGTAAAAGTAAGGTACTTCAGTTACCCCTCACATATATTTTGTTCTTTCATGCTCCACAGAGAACCCAAATTTCTAGACTCTCTAAAAGACTGGACCCTTAGAACAACAGGTTTTGGAACTAGGAGAGGTGACCCTAGATTTAATCCTAAACAGTGACCATAATCTGGTATAAGAAGTAAATGTGGAACCAACTGAAAACAGTGCCCACAATGCTATTACATTTACCATACAGGAAGTCCTTGCTTACCAAATGCCTCATTTAGCAACCATTCAAAGTTATGATGGTGTTAAAAAAAACAAACAGCTTTGTGACCAATCCTTGCATTCACGACCGTTGCAGCATCCTGCGGTCACATGATTGTCATTCAGACACTTCACAACTGGTGTGCATTCATGGCGATCATGGGACTGCGGGACACTGTGATGGTCATAAATGCAAGGATTGATCACAATGCTTGTTCTTTACACCATCATAACTTCAAACAGTCACTAAACAAGGACTACCTACCTCCAGATAGACCTCGTTTAACGACCACTCGTTCAGCAACCATTTGAAGTTATGACAGTGTTGAACAAGTGGTACTTATGACCGGTCCTCAAAGTTCCAGCCATCCAAGCACCCCTACAGTCACGTGATTGCGATCTAGGCACTTGGCAACCAGCTTGCACTTATGATGGGTTGAAGCATCCCATCTGCCACCTACCCACAAGCAAAGTCAATGGGGAAGTTGGCAGGGGAAGTTGCAAGTTGCTCCGGTAAGTTGTTTGCACTCTGCCCCGCCCAGCAACAGCCACCCCTGACCCCACCATGCCTCATGTGCCAACTGCATACCCCCCTCAAGCCTGCCTGCTTATAAGCCACCTGGGACTTGCTTAATGACCCACAATTCTCTCTTAACAATGGCAACAGGGAGTGCTGGGATTGCCATCACTAAACAATGAGGTCATGTTACGCTGGCTTTACAACCACATTGCTTAGTGATGGAAATTCCAGTCCCAATTATTGTTGTTAACTGAGGACTACTATATACAAATCTTGCCTCACCAGCCTTCCATTGTTTTTTTTTAAAGTGTCAACCGGCATGTGGATAGAGGTGATCCTATTGATATTGTATACTTGGAACTTTCAAAAAAACCTTGACAAAGTTTCTCATCAAACAGCAGCACTCTTATGTTCTTGTAACAGCCTATATTTAAATTGTGTAAAACATTCATGAAACATACATACAAAATACATACAAATAATGTGGCATAATTCAGATGACATCTGCATGATCACCATAAACCTTAATATTTTCCCATATGCCTGGTTAAATGCTAAACAAAAAGTGACATAATCATCTGTCACATAATCCAAAATTAAGTCACAGCTGCAAGGATAAAGCTCTGCAGAAAAAGGCAGCCTAAAGCAAGCAAAATACAATCCCACCCACTTCCTGCAAAGCCCTTGTATAATAATCAACTAGTCAAATCATATTATGGATATCTAGAAAATACTTATAGGCCTGTATGTCCTTCCCCACTATGTCATTTCATTCTCTCTACTTCCTGGTCCACAAAATATTTTGTGGTAATAATCTAAACTAAATGAGCCATTCTGATTGCTAACTGTTCTTTTCCACCAACTGCAAGACCAATGTATGTTCCAGCTTAAAGTTGAACTATGGATAGTGGTAACCATATTTTATAAAGTCATAATGTTATAAGTCACAGCAAGTACTACATATTTATTTGGTTATACTGCTGACTACCAAAATAGCAAATATAAAATCAAAATGTTAAAATTGCAATTAACCAAATAAAACAATAGAATTAATAATTAAAATTAATAGTTAAAACTCTCAGTTAAAAGCCTCTCCAAAATGTCTATTAAGGGTCTTTTTAAAAGTTAAAAGTTTTAAAAGTTATTAAAGTTATTAGGCCCCCTCAACTAGAGAGTGCATTCCAAAGAACTGGGACAGGAGCAGAGAAGACTTGAACAGATGAGTTTGTGGCAACTGTAGGTGATCCTCCTTAGGCCATCTTCCCTAAGTGTGGAGGCTCATACAGAAATTGGTGTTTTATCAAACAGCTTGCATCAAAACAAAAGGTGCTCGTTATTGCATAATACATCTCTTTAAAAGCCTGCCTTGGATTCCTCAGAGATGGACAACTATAGACTCATATTTGAATTGCTGAATAAGGTGTTTGAGAGACTGGTGGTTTCTCAAATGCAGGCAGTTCTGGAGAAAGCAGATTACTGAAAGCATTACCACAGCAGTCACAATGACCACCCTAATAAGCTCACTGCCTCTATAGAGGTGAGATGTAGCCACTAATCCAATCCAAAACAAGTGGTGATATGTCCATGACAATAGGAAACCTGAAGCTTCCCTGCCCGTGGAACCAAGAACTAAAGACGCAAAACTGTGTGCATGTGAGAAAAAAAGGGAGATACGTACTGCAACAGATTGTCATTGTTCAACTATGACATCTGGGTTGGCTTGTATCACTAAAATTAGAACTCAAAAACAACCGCAACCTTTTACTGCTCAGACCTACCTTATGAACATCTTCACTTTCAGCAGTCATTATTTTAAGTTTTTCTATGTGAACACCAGCCAGCTCTATTTTCAGATTGTCTTCACAAACCTGCAGTTCTTCAGCATATTTAAGTTTCATCGTATTTAATTCTTGAGCCAAAAGCATTTGATTTTCTTTATCCTTCTGAAGTAATTGTTCTTTCAAATTTATCTGTAAACTCTCAAGAGTTTTCTTGTGCTCTTCTTGCAGGAACTTAATTTCAAAATGGTACGTAGCCTCCAGACTATTCAAATCAGACAAATGCTTTGTCTCCAACTGTGTAATGTGCGCTTGATGATTTCTCTGGATATCAGCCACATGAGTCTTTAACCAATTCTGTTGTTTTCTTTCTAATGTAGATCTGAGAACTTCAATTTCAGCTTGCTGGCTGGATGTAAGGGACAAAATTTGTTCCTTGTGTTCCTGCTGCAACTCTTTATTTTGAAGTTCTAGCTCATCAATATGCTTTTCCCTCAATTCCTGGAGAAGAATTTCATGTTCTGTTTCGCTTTTTTTATTCTCTTCCAAAAATCTAGATTTATAAGGAAGCATATGAAGAAATTACCAGAAACATACCATACAAAGAACAAACAACATATAATAATGCATATTTTACTCTTGGGACATTTTTGAACATATATCCATCACTAAGCTAATTTTTACACAACAAACCCACTAAAGCTTATTCCTTAAAGGATAAGATAGTGACATAGTAGTCTTCTGTTGAAATCCAGAGACAAAAGACTATCTACTTCTGGAGCCGAGGACTGTATTGTTGGATGGATTGGAGATTGCGGTTTAGGCACCTGGTTTTATTGTCTTTGGTTTTTATTGTTGTGAGCTGCCCAGAAATATGTTTTACAAGATATCTGGCCATATAAGCCTTAAAAACAAACACATACTTCTTAAATCACTATCAATTTAATCAGATTATATTTTTGCTTCATGAAATGAAAAATTTTATTTATCTCTGCCTTCCACATCCTGCTACAATTGAAGTGCTCAATTCCTCTTTAACTGAAAAAGCCTACCCTTTTCTACCATAAACAGTTCTGTAATATAAAAAATACAAATCAATTTCAACTAAACAACTACCTATCAGGAATAATACTTTGTTGTATTACAAATTGGGTACAGGTGGTCCTTGACTTATGAAGGCAATTAGGACTGGAATTTCCATCGCTAAGCGATGTGACGGCACTCCCTGCAGTCCTGGTTGCTGCTGTTAACTGAACCCCACAGTTGTTAGATGAGGCAACTTCCTACTGGCTTCCCAAAACCAAAGTCAGTGGGGAAGCTGGCAGGAAGCTCTAAGTCCCAGGCCCGCAGGAAAGTAAGTGGCTGCTGTCCAGTGGGGGAGGGAGGGGTTGTTCAGGGGAAGGTGGGGAGGGTGCAAGGGGGTGCACGAGAGGCGCTGCGCAAGTTGGGGAGGGTGCGTGAGGCTGTGCGTGACCGGCGAAGCACAAGTCAGGGAGGATGCAAAAGAGCACGTGTGCGTGAGGGAGGGTCAGAGAGAGCACAAGGGGATACACAAGAGGTGCTGTGTGGTTCAGGGAGGATGCACTTGTTCAAATCACATGCGGCCTTGTCCAAATTGTGTGTGGCCTTCTTGTGAGGCTTTGGAAGGCTTCAAGCCTCGCAAGAAGGCCGCACACAATTTTGGCAAGCGGGAAGAAGGCCTTGCGCAGCCAGCAGCTGCCTCATGAAGGGCTGGGCCAGACATGCTGCATCAGCAGTGGGAGGAAGACGACAGCGAAGGACAGCTGGGGGCAGCAGGGCCGGCAGGGTCAGCAGAGTGCAGGATGGCAGAACGCACAGAGGCCAAAAGCACAGAGATGGGGGGAGACAGGCAGGTGGGGGGAGTTGAAGCACCCCTGTGGTTGTTAAGTGTGGGCGGGCTAAGCACCCCAATTTTGATCATGTGACGGCAGGGGCACTGCAACAGCTGTAACTTCAAGGAGCAGGCATAACTATCATTCATTCAGCGCCACTGTAACTTCAAATGGTCGTTGAACAAATGGTCGTTAATTGAGGGCTACCTGTATATAGTCCATTTTCAAGCTAAGTTGTCACTGAGTTGGGTGAATACTAGTAACTTTTTAATGTTGCAACTTTGCTTTAAAGTATATTTATAATTGGTGTATTATTGTAATAATTGCATTAACTGCCTTGAATGCCATTCATTTATGAAAATGTGGTATATTTATTAAATAGCTAAATTAATAGACACTGCATATACAGACATGGTCATGAAGGCATTTACACTGAAGGATCAAGCTAGACGTTTATAGGAAAAAAATTACAAACCTGCTTTGTGCTTCTTTATAATTAGCCTTATATTCTTCTTGTAAAACTTGTTTAGCTTTTTCTAATTCTTCAGCCATGAGGGTCTTTGTGGAAGATAATTCACTGTTATACTGAGCCAAAGTCTTCTGTGCATTTACTAAACTATCCTCTAACTGCTGGATAGTATTTTGCTGCTCTTTTAGAATTTTCTCTAATTCTACAATTTGAGCAGCCTGCTGTTCTTGAAGGCAAGTCACTTCTGCTTCTCGAAGGTCAAACCGCCTTTGCCATGCTTGCTTCTCATATTCTGCCTTGTTCTGAAGCTCTTTACGAAGCAATGATAATTTTTCTTTAGTTTCCGCTACCAATATCTCCTTTTCACGTTTCCATTCTTCAGCTTTTGCTTTATGAGTCTGTTCCACTTCCCAGAGCTCTTTTCTAGTTCTTCTTAATTCATCTGTATGATCTTCAATTAGTTTACACTTAATCTATTAAATATCACATAAAATCCATTGAAACCTAAGCTAGTCTAACTCAACACAATTTTTAAAAAAATTATACTTCAAACTATAATTCTGCATTACTATATAAAAAAACCCTTCTAAAACATAAATATATTTATTTGTACAAAAATGTCTATCCCCCCAAATGCATAATGCAACATTTAACTTTACCTATAAATCAAGAGAAGAGAACTTGTGACTCTCCTAACTCTGCTGAATTATAGTCCCCAGCATCCCTCACCACTGCCTTACTGCCTGAGATCTATAGTTCAGCCATGTACAGAAGTCCTTCCCCCACCCACCCCAATTAATGTCACTGGGTTAAATGGAGTTGTTTCTCACATAAACATGAGTTCAGATTTGCAGCTCTAAACATATATAAAGCAGATGTTGAAAAGTAAACGTAAAAATAACAAACACTATCATACCCATCTTATATTTTGTCTTCTGTACCAAAATACAGGAGTTTTGAAATTCATCTTATACTTTGGCCCAGTGTTCCAGCATATGAAGATTCTTTTGAGTCTTGATTCTCTTTTATGGTTTTGACTGCTTCCAGCAACAACTCTGTATTTATAAATTTGTTGAACAACACATAGCCCTAAAAAGAACCCTGTACTTTCCACTCAAACCATTAATGACCATTCCCTGAATACAACAGCTTAATGGTATTTAATGTCCATTCAGTCTCACAACTACTAAAACAACAACCAAAAATAATTGGCTAGCATGACATTCCTATGAGCCCAAAGTTGGTTTCCACTAAACAATGCATTTTGCTCAATATTGACAGCAGGTTAACTAGTCTGTAATTCCCTAAACCCAGTTTTCTCCAGTTTTTAAAGATGGGGACAAACTTTGTTTTTTGGTATGTTACTTATTCTCCAAGAATGTTCATAAATTACATTCAACGTCTCTGAAACAATATTCACAAGGTCCTTGTCCTTCAGCATCAGTATAATTCATACTAATTCATTCAAGTAGTTAAGTATTCTCTAAACTCATACAGTGGTACCTCGGGATCCGAACGCCTCTACTAATGAACTTTTCGGGTTACGACCAGCTCCGGCCGCAAAAATTTACCTCGATGTGCGCACTCCGCCTCGGGGTACAGTCATTTTTCCGCCCTAACATGTGGTCCACGGCCATTTTTCCGCCCCTGACACGTGGTCCGCGGCCATTTTCCCGCCCCGCTGTGCA